CTTTAGTTATAATTGCTTGCCCGCGTCCGTACGATTTGGTCGCGTTTCGTCCGTCGCGTTATCATTTGTACCCTAGTTATAAGTCGTGTCCGCCGTGCGATATATGGTCGCGGTCCGCACTTCCTGCGATTCTCCTCTGTACGCGTAGAAGATAATAAGCCCACTCTTGCAGGCGGCTTCAATAAACTCTGTTTTTTACCAGAACGATTGGCGTGGTTATTGCGAACCTGAGTCTCCCCCCCCTCTTCCCAAATCCTGGCCCGACGAGCCGATCCGTGGCGTCGGGAGGAGCCCCCCGTTACAAGTTAAATTTTTTAAATATAATTTAACGTATAAGACAGGCAATAAGAGCCAAATCGCGGATGACAATGCGTTATCCTAACGAACTAAATTATTAATCGTTAGAATTAAATACCGGTGCACAAGGCACCAAATTTTTTTCTTCTTGGACACGGCCAAGATTTTAAGTATGAAATAATCTCATATTAAGATTTAATTTCAATACCCCTTAAACCCCCCTACGGAAAATAAAAAATGAATGCAAGAGAAAAATATAGATCCGAAAGTCGCTGAATCGCTGAATCGGGAATCGAACCCGAGACCTTTCGCTGCCGGGCGACTGCTCTTCCACTGAGCTATTCAGATCCCTTCGATTCTATACTTTTCTTTGTTATATATATATTAATGTTGGTAAACAAACGCCTTTAAGCCAGCGTGTATAAATTTAAGAGTTTAACAAGGCTCTGTAATATAAATATAAATGTAACTATATAAATATAAATTTAATATATAAACAGAGAAAAGTATAGAATCAAAGGGATTGAATAGCTCAGCTGGAAGAGCAGTCGCCCAGCAAGCGAAAGGTCTTGGGTTCGATTCCCGCTTCAGCGACTTTTCGGACCTATATTTTTCTCGCTTATTTCTCCATATGTAAGTTTCGAAATTAATTTATATGTGGAACTTTGGGATCTCAAATTGAGATACAGTTCCGTTTAATTAATTTTTCGTTTCGTTTCCTTGGCTCTATTGCCCAGCTTAGAAGACAGCATACTTATATTATTTATATTGAGAGCCGATAAAAATATTTATTTCTGAGTTTATTCACGCCTTGGGCTAATCACGGCGGATTTACTAACATCTACTAAAAAAAGGCAAATGAAAATATAGGATCAAAAGTCTGAATAGCTTAGTTGGTAAGAGCATCGCCCGGAAAGTGAAAGACGCGGGTTTCGATTCCCGCTTCAGCGACTTTTCGGACCTATATTTTTCTCGCTTATTTCTCCATATGTAAGTTTCGAAATTAATTTATATGTGGAATTTGGGATCTCAAATTGAGATACAGTTCCGTTTAATTAATTTTTCGTTTCGTTTCCTTGGCTCTATTGCCCAGCTTAGAAGACAGCATTCTTAAAATTAAATTTTTTAATTTCTGAATACCATTACTGTTTTTTTATAAATTATAAACATAGTATTAATTTTTATAATAAGAATACTAAGTCGGCTCCTTAATTTTAAAAAACAAATACACACACTCCTTCATTTCGGCCAATAGAGCCAAATGCGATGTTATTGCGACAATTAAGAAAGAAAATTTGGAACTAAGAAATTTGTATCCTATGATTGGGATCTCAGAAATTCCCCTTGTTCTCTCTTAACTTCCCCTGTAAAGAAATAGGCGAGAAAAATATTAGTCCAAAAGTTGGCTGAATCGGGTGAATCATCCGAGATTAATTTTTGTTCATTTGTCATTAATTGTAATTACCAAAAAATATATTTTTATATAAAAAAAAAAAATCAAATTTTTCTATTATTTGTTATTAATATATTTTTAAAAATTAACAAACAAATTCTAATTTAATATATATATAATATATATATAAATAATGTTTTAAAATCTTATAATTTAATACTAACTAGAAAGATAAGATTCGCTATACAAGCTCAACGCGGATGTACATACGTGTGCGAAGACGACGAAAATTTAATTTTTCGTCGTCTTATATATTGCACGAAGCACAAAAATTTGCTTAGCAATTACTAAAACTTATTGAAAAAAATCGGATTTTAGATCTTAATTCCTCAGTTTCTTTATCCTCTCCCCCCTTTTGATTAACTTCAGTTATTTAGCTTAATTTAACTTTAACTGATGGAGAGTTAATATTTTGTTTATGCAACTTTTAATTTAACTAAATTAATTTATATGAGCAACTAACTTTAACTTAACTTAGTTAAAAAAAATCATAAACTTACCCATCCTGCTGAAACCCCTTAATTTGACGAAAACTACGGTACTAGTTTCGAAAAAAATATTGTATTTTACAAAAGTTGTAAGACACTTGTATGTGTGTTTTCTTTATACATGCTATTATATGTTAATATTCACATTTCTTATTTCATATATTATTACGTATTTCTTATATTTTAAAACAATAAGCAAAAAAAGTTTAATAGCAACTAACTTTAAACGATACTACAAATAAAATAAAATGATTCTAAAAAAAACAATAAATATCATTAAAGACTACTTACTTAACTATGCTGTACATACATAAATTTTTGGGAATTTCATTTCGATTATTAAACGGCAACAAAATACGGCAAAGGCGATATAAATGATGTCACTTAATTCGCGCCCAGTAAGTACATAGGTTAAAGTTCAATTAGTGGGCGCGAATTAAATGACATCATGTATAAGATCGCGCTTTTTTTAATCAATTTGTGACAGTGTTGAAGAAATTTAGCTAACTGGAACAATAAAAACTTTAATTCTCATTTCAATTAAATAAAAATGTTGCGGAAATGATCACGCAGTCCGCGCGCTGTTTGTGTTTTTGCGAGATGGTCAAAACTCTGCAAATCTGTCGAGAGCCAAACAGCGGCGAAAAAAAATTTGCGAATCATAACAAAACGCGCCTCTTGTCTTCGACCAAGGGCATCGTTGCCGCCTAACAACATCGCCGAGCGAAATCGAGAGAGACCATTATTTTCCCCCGAGAGAACTGACGTGTTTTTCTTTTTTGTTCTCCCAAGGTCCGCCGAAACCTAAAGACACACCACGCTCTTGAAGTCGCACGCTCAGTGCCTCTAAGTACGCCGCAGCTTCGAGTCGTGCCAAAAATATAGCTACGAGTTCGCGCCAAAATTGCACTTAGTATTCTCGCCAATATCGCACCGCTGCAACGTGCAGTTAATGAGAATTTACTGCATCAATTACTTTCTATTTCTTTTGTGTCTAATTACTTCACATATATATATATTCTTTTTTGTGCTTTGTTTTATTTCATTAAACACTTTTGTGAACAGTATATTTTGAACATTTCTTTATTCTTTATAATATTCTGGTGTTCGTTCCACCTCACTCTAAACATTTTGGTCCTTCGAGCCGGATCGTGCACATCCGAGCGAGTGGTGAGTGAACACGAGTGTCGCGGTGACGGTAATCCTGGTGCGAAGGGCGTGACGTTGACTTAACTCGCGCAATGAGCCTCGACGCCGAAAGTGTCCTTGACGCTCAGTCCGAGCTGTACGGTCGCATAGCCCGCGCCGAAGAAAACCTGAAAAAGTTAGGAGCGTCAAAAATCTCAATCGGCAGTGTGGAGTCGCGACTCCAGACTCTGGAGGCAAACTGGGATAAGTTCCAGCTCAATCACGAAGAGCTGCGCTCCAAACATAAGAAGGTGCTCGCTGACCACGACTACTTCAAGTCGAGCTGGATTGTCACGGTCGAAGACAGGGTGATGGACCAGCGCTCAACTCTGCTGGATTTGCTGCATTCCCTTCGCTCCAAGCCGGAGAGCGGAGCGGAGCGAAAGATGATAGCAGCTTCGGAGCCCGCGTCGCAGCGGAAGCTGCCCAACATCGAGCTTCCACATTTCTCCGGTCGCATTGAGGATTGGCCAGCGTTCAGGGACCTGTTCCTGTCGATGCTGGATCGCCATCCTTCGCTGGCAGATGTGGAGAAATTGCACTACCTGAAAACAAGAGTGCAAGGTGAAGCCGAAGATCGAATTCGCAATTTGCCGACAACGGAAGGCAATTTCCGACGAGCATGGGCAATCCTCGAGGATCGGTTCGAAAACAGGCGAGTCCTTGTGCGCTCGTGCCTCTCGTCGTTCTCCGCAACGCCTAAAATGAAGAATGAGTCCGTCGCCGACTTGAAGAAGCTGGTCAACTGCATACTGCAGACGGCTGGCACGTTGGAAAGCATCGGTCGCAAGGCAGCATACGACAACGACCACTTCGTCCACACAGTGATCGAGATGCTAGATCCTCGATCCAGACGCGAGTGGGAGGACACAATCTGCGATTCACGAGATCCGCCTTCGTATGATGAGCTGAGAGCGTTCCTCGAGAGCCGCCTGCGAGCTTTAGAAGCGTTGCATCCTGCGAAGCAGGAGCCCGCATCCGTTTCTGCCTCCAGGTCGGCGAGCGCGTCTTCAAGGTCGGCGCGCGCCAACCTGGCGCAGAAGCAGCAGAAAGGAGGTCGGTGCCCACTATGTCAAAAGGATCACTTCATCCTCCTGTGCATTGAGTTCCGCAAGAGGCTGCCGGCGCAGAGGAAGGAGTGCGTGGAGAAAAACAGCCTCTGCCTGAACTGCCTTGGCAAGCATCCTGTAGCCGAGTGCCGATCTGCGAAGAACTGCATGGTCTGCAACGCGAGGCATCACTCCACGCTTCACGAAGCCTGTTCAACAACGTCGGCAGCCAGTGGAGCTATCGCGACATCGCTACACGTGAGTTACCACCACGAAGAAGATAGTGCCGCTGGCCTCCTGGCCACCGCACGCATACACGTCAAGAACAGACATGGCGAGCTACAAGCAGTCCGTGCGCTCATCGACCCGGGATCTGAGGTGTCGCTCGTCCACGAGGCGCTGGTGCAGCGACTGCATCTCCCTCGTCGCGCCACTTCTATGTCCATCTCCGGTGTCATCGGACGGCGAAGCGGCAGGCTGCGGGGCACGCCCCTTGAGCTGAAGTCGCGCAACTCCGACTTTGCAATGCGAATTTCCGCATTGATCCTCCCCCGCATTACTGCGAGCAACACCTGCGTGCCGGCCACGACTCAGAGTTGGCCCCACGTCCAGGATCTGTGTCTCGCCGACCCAGACTATGGAGCGAGCGACCCAGTGGAGCTGCTGCTGGGGGTGAAGGAGTATTCCGCAATAATGGAAGGAGAAGTACGCAAAGGCGGCCCCGGCGCTCCAATGGCTCAGCGCACGGCATTCGGGTGGATTCTCCTGGGCGAAGTCGACGGCGCAGCAAGGTCCGGGGAGGCATCATCCCATCACTGCCAAGTAGACGAGGACCTCGTGGGACTGGTGCGTCAATTCTGGAGCCAGGAAGAACCACCGACCAGTTCCACGCCGCTCACGGAGGACGAGCAACGCTGCGAGACATTCTATGTCTCATCGCTCCGCCGCACGCCTGAGGGACGGTACGTCGTGCGCCTCCCGACTACCACGACGCTGCCAGACTTCGGCGAGACGCAGCGCACGGCCGCATGGCTGGTTCGCTGCATGGAACACCGGTTTGCGAAAGACCCGGACTTGCATCGGCTCTACTGCACCTTCATGCGAGAGTATGAGACGCTCGGCCACATGCTAGCAGTCTCCCCGCCGTCGGAGGTCTAGCGCGCGCGCACATGCTATCTCCCGCATCACGGCGTACTCAAGGAAGCTGCACCAGAGAAAAGAATCAGAGTAGTGTTCAACGGGTCATCGCGCCTCAATTCCGGTGACTCGCTTAATGCTCACCTCTTCGCGGGTCCCAATCTGCTTCCAGCGCTGAGTGATGTGCTCCTGAGATGGAGGAGGCATCAATTCGTGCTGGCCGCTGACATCGAGAAGATGTACCGCCAGATCTTGGTGCATCCCGACGATCGAGATCTGCAGAGGATAATATGGCGGCCGACGGCTGACGCTGAGCTGCAGGAATACCAACTGCAGACGGTCACCTACGGCCTTACCTGCGCGCCATTCCTCGCGATACGCACAATCCGGCAGCTTGCGAAGGATGAAGGAGAGCGATTTCCTCGCGCTGCGGCAGCGCTGCGGCAGGACGCATACGTGGACGACATCCTGACGGGAACCGACACCCTGGACGAGGCGCAGGCTCTCCGCGACGAGCTGATCGGCCTCTGCACGGCGGGCGGATTTCCTCTTAGCAAATGGTCAGCCAATGCAAACGCCATACTCAAGGACATCCCCGAGGAAAGACGTCAAGTGCGAGACCTGCGTGAGTGGGAGAGCGACAAGGGACACTCCGCGCTCGGCCTCCGCTGGCATCCTCGCCAGGATTGTTTTGCCTTCAGGGTACAGCAACTGAGCAGCCAGCAGTGACGAAGCGAGTGGTACTTTCGCAAGTGGCTCGCTTATTCGATCCCATGGGCTGGCTGTCGCCGGTGATCATCAAGGCGAAAATTCTCATTCAGACGATGTGGCTGCAGCATCTGGACTGGGATCAGCCTGTCCCCCCGACGGAAGAGCGGACTTGGAGAACTTTTCGCGACGAGCTCCCCGCTCTGGAGAGCGTGCACGTGCCTCGTTGGACACAGTGCAAGGGATCAAACAGTGACCTGGAGGTGCACGGCTTCGCAGACGCCTCCGAGCGAGCATACGCTGCGGTGGTGTACCTCCGCACCAGAGGAGTGGAGGGCGAGCGCCGTGTTTTCTTGTTGCAGGCGAAAACCAAGGTGGCCCCTGCGCAGCCGGTCTCGCTGCCAAGGCTCGAGTTGTGCGCGGCGGCGCTTCTTGCCAAGCTGACAGCGCACGTCGTCAAGGTCATGGACATCGCGTCCGCTCCTCTTCACCTCTGGTCGGACTCCACAGTGACGCTGGCGTGGATTCAGAGTCACCCGTCGCGCTGGAAAACTTATGTGGCCAACAGGGTCGCCGACATCCAGCGAAGGCTCCCCAACGCCCAATGGCATCATGTGTCCGGAGCAGAGAACCCAGCAGACTGCGCGTCACGAGGCTTGTCTCCCAGCGACCTGCCGGATCATGGGCTGTGGTGGAGCGGGCCGCCCTGGCTGTCTGGAGACGCCACGCTTCCTGCGAGCACGCCGCTGCCGATGGGTGACCCGCAGGAGGAGAGGCGTCAGGTGCATCTTGCAGCGGTCCAATCAGCCGAGGAATGTCCAATGCTGCGACGATTCTCAGTGCTGCAGCGGCTGCTGAGGGTAACTGCGTGGTGCTGCCGTTGGCTCGGCGAGCGGCGCGTTCCATACACCCCGATGTCCGCGCTGTCGCCTCAGGAACTCGAGGCGGCCCGACTTCGCTGGATCCGTCATGTGCAGTCCTGGGAATTCGCGGAAGAGCGGCGAGCGCTGTCAAGGGGCGTGGCAGTCCCGCGAAGAAGCGTCCTCGCTAGGCTGGATCCATTCGTGGACAGGAATGGCGTCATCAGAGTCGGTGGTCGGCTCAAACACGCTGTTTTGAACCCGGATGAAAGGCACCCGATCATCCTCCCCAGGAGGTCGCACTTCGCCGTCCTGGTGATTCGGGAGTGCCACCGCCGAGCCATGCACGGCGGAGTGCAGCTGACTCTGGGGATGGTCAGGCAAGGATACTGGATTCCGGGAGGACGCCTGGAGGTTCGACACCACATTCATCGCTGCGTCACTTGCTTGCGATGGCGGGCGGCGTCCCCGAATCCTATGATGGGACAACTACCACCGCCGCGGGTAACAGCATCGCGTCCCTTCAGCCAAGCGGGAGTCGACTATGCGGGCCCAGTCCAGGTTCGGACAGCAGCAGGTCGAGGACACAAGGCGCACAAGGCCTTTTTGGCCATCTTTGTGTGCTTTGCAACAAGGGCTGTGCACATCGAGCTGGTGTCCAGTTATGCCACGGATGCCTTCCTAGCGGCTTTCCGGCGCTTTGTCTCACGCCGCGGAATGTGCCGCACGCTGTACAGCGATCGGGGGACCAATTTTGTCGGTGCTGATGCCCAGCTTCGAGCGATGTTCCAGGAGGCTGTGCGCAAAAGCCCGCGCATCGCCAACATCCTTGCCTCCGAAGGGGTGGAGTGTGTTACGTCTCGTGGGGTCGCGGCTGCGAAAATTTGAATGCAGAGCTCGGCTTTTTCCACGAGACACGATCGCTATTACGGGTACGCGAATCTATGCGATTCTCCCCGGGGATACCCGCGATCTGAGGTTATTCGCGCTGGAACTGAGGTGATCGGATTATTGCGAGGGACCTACCTGTGACTCTACTGTAATAAAGATAGCTTCGTCGATTGCTCTATGCGAAACGTCGTTGGGGTTGCGTAAATAATCTTCGTACGTAAACTGACAAAGCTCGCACAAATCACCGATTCGCGTGAGGGTAAGTCGGAAGTTGCAGACTCCGCAATTTATTCCGATAGGTGTTCCGCCTATGATTAGAGTATGCTTCCGAATCCTTGTCCAAAGTAATTTCGAGACTCTAGGTAAGGTGGAGTAGCATGAAATGCAGAGAGCTGCCTTAGTCTCAAAATGGATGTACCCGACACCAACTTGGCAATAGAATAAGGGTTCAAACGGTACGAAGAGATTAACTTCTGGAGGAGGAGTTATACCTCTAAGGGTGAGTGGGCACATTTGTGTTTGTTGCGTAATCGAATTGATAATGCGTCATTCGCTCGTAGATCTTCGGTGAACCCGGCAGTTATCGAGAAGTTAGTAGTCGTCGGCAAAACCGTCGGTAATTGTTCAGTAAAACACTGGTAAGGTGCCAGTAAGGCGTCGATAACCCGTTGGTAAAAGAACGTATGTCGGTATATGGTTGGTAATGTCGGTATAAGAACGTATGTTGGTATATAGCCGGTAATGTCGGTAAAAGAACGTATGTCGGTATATTGTCGATAACGTTGGTAAAAGAACGTATGTCGGTATATCGTCGGTAATGTTGGCAAATCGAAAGTGTTCTCAATTGATTATTGTTTAAATGACTACTTTGTTGTACGGATTTACGAAGTTATTTCTTGAGACACAAGATTTTTAAGAGATTGAACTATTTGCGTTTTTCCGTGTTAGAATTCCGAGAGTGGCACCGCATGTGGTGGTCGACCCTAGTTTTATAGCCCGACCTTTTTTTTATAGCTTCCGCAGTGACGATGGAAAAGAGGAAAAATGCGTCGGAGATTTTTCTAGAATGTTCTCTTCCACGTGGTAGAAGCGTCTCTGAATTTGCTAACACGCGCGATTCCTTAGGTTAACGTGAATTTCACTTACCTTTAGTAGCACTTTCTTGATCGTGTCGGCTCGTACTTGGAGGTAGTGCGTGCGGCGAGGGTCGTTCACTGGGATGTTTGGCGGCGGCAGGCGTCGTGGTTGGAACGTTATTGGTATGCACTTCCACTGTAGGAGTTCGTCGTTGTTATTATTTTTAATGTTGAAAATGTTCTCGTATTCAGGATCGGCCTGATATTCCACTCCGAGGAATTGAGAATATTCTTCGGTCGCTGATTCGCGATAAAGTCGGTTTAGTTTTCGTAATTGATTCTTCCTTCCTGCGCGTCGCGTCTTAGGCATATTGAATTTGATGCATCCTCTGAATGATTACTCAAATAAGGAGGGTTGATATGCGGCGGACCTCACTATCAATTCCTTATTTTGGCAAATGCTGAGAATGTTAATTCTGACTGTGATGAGCGGTGGTCCGCTCCAAACACAGTTTGAATTATTCTGAATTCAAACGCCGTATGACAAATTTAAAACGCTATCGTATTTTATCACGGGAGTGGAAGTTTTGAAGAATACTGAACACTAGTTCTCACACATGAATACACTGATTTATTCGTATAGTAGTACAAAATTCGAGACTAAAACTTAGAATTAGAATTTAGATTTAGACTTAGAATTTAGAGTTAGAATATTATACTTAGAGTTAGAATTTTAGAATTAGAGTTAGGATTTAGAATTTGGACCTAGAGTTAGAATTTAGGAGTGCGACTATACTGTTCGGTGTCGCGCAGAGAACTGCCGAAATTCGGGACTGCTCTGAGGTCCTTCGTTTCGGCGGCTCGGGCCTGCGGCGGCCTGGAGAGGGGGAACTCTCCGGAGTAGGGGCTCTCACCGTGGTGGGAGATCCTTAGGCGCTACGAAGCGCCACGCTTAGTTTCTAGGCGGAGTTAAGCGTCATGGCCGGCTTTGGCGCGCTTTTCAAATAGCGTTTAAGGAACTTGGAGTAAACGAAAAAATTTATACGGCCGGACGTGACAAGTGGCGGTTCAACCCTCCGGCTGCACCCCACTTTGGCGGCCTGTGGGAAGCAGCCGTAAAGTCGATCAAACACCACCTCAGGAGAGTTATAGGAGAATCAACACTCACCTTCGAGGAGCTAAGCACTGTTCTTGCACAGATTGAGGCATGCCTCAACTCTCGTCCTTTGCAGGCCATATCGGATGATCCGGAGGACGTCTCGGCCTTGACGCCAGGCCATTTCTTGATTGGAGCCGCTTTGACATCGCTGCCTGAGCCGTCGCTGACATCGGAGCCTCTCAACAGGCTCACGCGGTGGCAGCTGCTACAACGAATGAGGGATGACTTCTGGTCACGGTGGTCCAAGGAATACCTGCAGTCACTCACCTCGCGTGTGAAATGGTGGAGGAAAAACATCAACCCGACCGTTGGCGACCTGTGTCTTAT